AATATAATATATTTTTCAGTACTTAATGAAAAAGATTAACAATTTTGGATAACAGAAGACATACTTATTCTCCTTTGAGAACATACTTGCAGGTTTTGATCTAGTAAATGACGGCAGTTACTTTACAACAAAAAACACAACGTCTCCTTTTTATCTGCTTAAAGTAGCTATGTAGCTGAGAAACCAAATAAATAAATAAATAAATGATTTGCTGTTTATTTTATGCTACAATAGCACACCTAGAATTATTTGTATTCGTTTGATGCTAAAACTCAGACTATTATTCTCCTCAGTCTTTTACATTAATTTTGTGGTGATGATTTTATTTAGATTTATTTTCATTTAATTATACAAACTTAGAATACAAAAAAATTGTTTTCGTTAATGTGTTACGATGAGAATTCCTGTGATGAAACGATTTACCCCAAAGCTGTTGAGATCTTGTGTAAAAAGGTGAATTAATTAAATAATGTTGTTGATTGGTAAATTTTATCTGGCACCCCTTTTAACAAGAGCCTAAAACAGTAGAAAAGGAAGCATCACCCATCTCATATCCTCCTCATAATGAACAATTTATCATGTGGAGAGGGCGCTTTAAGTTACCAGTTAACCGGGGGGGTGTATGAATAATTTGTTGCACCAGTTGTCACTCGATGCCATGCTGAGTGAAAAGTCCAAGCACACCCACAGAACAAATGGTTTATCCAAGCTGCTGTATCAGACTGAACAGTCCTCTAAAATTGCCTGTGATTTTCACTCCAGGATGGATCTCACAGACAACATCGCTCCCATTTGGACAAATTACTTGGGGGAACAATCTCTGCTGCAGCCTTTTTGGGACACCCTGAGGCTCAACTACAGAGACTACTTGAGATCTCCGCTCTTCCCCATTGTAGTGACGGTCTCTTCCTATTTCATCCTCTGCATCCCTTATCTTGTTTGTGACATGATGGGGGACCGGTGGCCGTGGGTCCAGCAGTTCAAGATACAACCAAGCTATCAKCCGACAACTTCCACTTTGCTGCACTGCACAGGTGTCACCTTGTACAACCATGTGTTTCTTGTGCTCCCGGCATCCATCGCCCAGTGGATGTGGAGACCACCTGTGGACCTGCCAGACCAGGCGCCCACCCTGCTGGAGCTGATTGCTGGTGTGATAGGCAACCTCCTGCTCTTTGACTTCCAGTACTTTATTTGGCACCTGCTGCATCACAGGGTCCGCTGGTTGTACGCCACCTTCCATGCCATCCACCACAAGTACTCCTCTCCCTTTTCTCTCGCCACCCAGTGTCTGGGCGGCTGGGAGCTGGTCACAGTGGGGTTTTGGACAACAATAAATCCTCTGATCCTGAGATCTCATTTACTCACCACGTGGACCTTTATGATAGTACATGTGTACGTTTCAGTAGAGGATCACTGTGGCTACGATTTCCCCTGGTCCACATCGCGTGTGATTCCCTTCGGCATATATGGAGGACCGAGCAAGCATGATGTGCACCACCAGAAACCCAACACTAACTTTGCTCCCCATTTCAGTCACTGGGACAAAATATTTGGCACACATGCTGACTTCAGTTTCTGTAATACTAAAACTTAAGGTGTGTTTGATAATCGTGTGCTAAGATGTGGCTGTTCTCTTCTAAAATCAACATATAAATGCATGCATGAAATTGTGAACATTACACAAAATGTTACATAGTCTATTTTCTTTCATTTAAATCAAACATATTGTTGAGATCATCCTAATAAATAAATATATTTCTCTCAATTTGACTGTCTTTTTAAACATTAAAATCCATCTTGAGCCTCAGACTTACAGCTCATAATAAACATTTATTTTCAAAATAAAATAAAGGCTTGGCTTTCTTCTTCAATACTTCACATACATACACATTATACTTGATAGAATATTTGAAAATCAAACATATACTAAACTGACTCTAGTCCTGATGCATCTCAGTAATCCAGGTAAAAAAATCAAAAAGAAAAAAATTGTAAAGCAATTTATAACATTAAGTGTTAATTAGGTGTCAACGATAGCCATGTGATGTGAGTATAAGTCACATGGAGGCAGGGCTTAAAAAAGCCTGAATTTTGCCTGAAACTCTCAGACTGAAGAAGTCTCTTGGAGGAGAGATGAAACGTTTCATTAGAGAAGAACCCGTCCAGAAGACCTATACAATTTTTTTTCTTTTTAAACTGACTCTAGATTTGATTCAGTTTGACCTATTGTCTGTTGTTCATTCTCGAATTTAATTTATATTTTTTTCTGTTGTATTTTTTTACCCTATAGTGTTGTTCTGAGTTCATGTAACCTGAGCAGTAATCTGATTCTGATAATGAAGATGGTCATTTGAGACACCCCCAACCTAAATAAATAAGTAAGTAAGTAAGTAAGTAAGTAAGTAAGTAAGTAAGTAAGTAAGTAAGTAAGTAAGT